AAAAGCTCTAGACCTTAACCTCGAACGCTTATGATAACTGCAGAAATCCGTCTGCGGTAGTACACAAAACCGAGGAAGTCCAAATCCGTGCTCCTGTTGTGGCTTCATTTTCCTCAAGGGGTCCAAATCCAGGATCCCAACACCTTCTCAAGGTATCCATTACAACTTACTACCCTTGTAACTGCAAAATTTCTATAACTCAATTGCAGAAGATCACTAGGCCAATTTCCAACATCATCAATAGCATACTAGTCTAAAATTACACACCCTATCTTTTGGTTCTGATTTTCTGACAATAAAACACGACCAAAACAGCCTGATATTACAGCCCCAGGGATCGACATCCTAGCAGCTTACACTCCTTTGAAGACTATAACTGGAAAGGAAGGCGACAAACTGTACTCCAAATTTAGCGTCATATCAGGCACCTCAATGTCCTGCCCGCACGTCTCAGGGGCTGCTGCCTATGTGAAATCTTTCCACCCCGACTGGTCGCCCGCCGCCATAAAATCAGCCCTTTTGACCACAGGTACTCGATAATTACACCTCCAATGAACAAACACTCAAAATTAAATAAATAATTTAATTATATCCATTTTTTTCTCAATAGCGAGACCAATGAGCTCAAGGGTGGACACGGATGCTGAATTCGCGTACGGCACAGGCCAAGTTTACCCAACCAGGGCTATCAACCCTGGGCTGATCTACGACATGGATGACATGTCGTATATTCAATTTCTCTGTCACGAAAACTATAGTGGGTCAGCAATTGGTACCTTAACCGGGCGCGGAACAGTGGATTGCTCCAAATTGCTCCCCGCCAGCCCAGAGGATGCCCTCAACTACCCGACCATGCAGCTGGCGTTGAAAAACGATCAAGAACCGACTGTCGGCATTTTTATGAGGACAGTCACGAATGTGGGCCCTCCAAAGTCGGTTTACAATGCCACCATCCGGGCCCCGAAAGGGGTCGTTATAACCGTGAAGCCCACGAAACTCTCGTTTTCCGAGACCTTGCAGAAGAAGAGCTTCAAAGTTGTGGTGACGGCGAAACCGATGTCCTATAGTAGGACTATTGCATCGGGTTTGCTCACTTGGGAAAGCACAGATTCCCGAGTGAGGAGTCCTATTGTGGTTTACAATCCATGAACCAACTGAAGACGGGAACTTGGAAAGGGAGTCGGAGATTTCTGTGGACAACAGTACTAAAGTATGTTTACTTTGCTGCGATAATACTTACTACTAAGCGAAATGCTAAAGTTCAATGTTCATAACAAGTTTGGGTAAATAAAGGTTTGCGATATGAATTTTAGTTCTTCTTGCACTTGTACAAGTTGAACTCTTCCCGTTGCTTCTTCTGTTGGGAAAAAATATTAACTTCAACTAGTATCTACTTGTCGACTTAAAACACTGATGCGTATATACACAACGAAACGTAGTGCGTAAATGTAACTCTTTCCATTTTTCGACACCTGGAGTGTAAAGCTAATCATCTCGGATGAACTGAGTAAGATGTCCCAATTTGATAGAATCAGATTTGAGTAAGATGTCCCAATTTGATAGAATCAGATTTGAGATCGAACTCCTCATTTATTGCCCTCTAAGGGGGTAAAAATATCATGAATAGATTATTTTTTGTTCCAGGTAAAATTAAATCAACTACACATAGTGATACCCTCTGTAAAAAGTTGAATAGGAAACAAAACCGGCTATTTTGGCTACGACTCTATTGAAGGAGGCAGAGGTTGAGGACGATTGGGTCATGAACCGGCTCGGCCAGCATCTTACTCTATTTTTCTGCATAAGGTCACACTTTTTCTTTCCCTTTTTTAAGTCTCTCAAGCTCGGATTCAGCATCTGTCAGCTGGTCTTTTAGTGTTGATACTCTCTGCTCCAATTCTTCTACCGTCCCTCGATCAATGGATGGTTGATAAGGCGTCAAAAAGTGGTGAGAAAATGCTTTTAATGCGTCTATTCCACAAACCTGCTCATTTTTGACATATAATTATGGGACCGAACAAGAATCAATGTTCTTGATCATGCACACACAGATAGAGGGGGAGACAGTCTAGGGGGGGGAGGGAATTAATAATAGTAATAATAATAATAATTACTATTGCGATGGTATGAGGAGATGACATGGAAATTGAATGATCATTTCCTTAATCATTCTTAATCTCATGATTGGTATAATTTAGGGGAAGGAATGTTTATTCCAATACGAAATGCAGAACCCATCTCTATGAATTGGTCATTCCATAACTAACACATGGGTTTATCCTTTCTCATATCTTTAAAATTTAGTTTTTTCTTTCAAAAATTAAAACTAACAATTGACATGAGAAATAAATCTATAATATATAATATGAATCATGGTAAAATTATATTTGAAATTATTTATTTTAGAAAATAAATTTAAAACAAACAATTAAAAATAATAACTTTTTTATTCATATTTTGGTTAGATATATACAAGTAAAAAATACCTATAAATAATAATAAAAAAAAATCCTATTTTATGTTTATTTATTCATATATATTATGTATTTTCTTATGAATTTAATTAACTTATAAATAGTTATATACCCAGACCCCAACCTGTTGGGAATATACTGGGTATGTTGTTGTTGTATAAATAGTTATATAATATTCATATGCTTATAAGAGTTTACATAATTATATATTTATTTCAATATTAATTCATAAATATAAATAAATAATTTACTTATTTATTACATAACATGAGAAAATATAAATAAATAATTTACTTAATTATCTATATAAAACTTTCTATTAAAAATATGGTATAATTTCTAAAAGATATAAAAATACCATTAATATTAACATAAATAAGATAATAACATTCAATAAAAATTGAAATTATATTTTTGATAACATAATTATAATATGAGATATATTTATTCCATTCAAATACTATTCCTAAGCATACCAAACACATGAAAAAAATATTTGTTTCCTTTTCATAATCTATTCTTCAACTCACTTCAGTCCTATCAAATTTCATTCCATCATACTACCCTTTTACCTAATAACTTTAACTAGTAACTACTATTGCTAATATAGCCCTTTAGGAGGTTTAATTTTCCTATAAGTTAAACCACTTAGTAATAAAAGTTTTGTATAATTTTGGGATGGTAGTGCATTTAACATGAGGTTTTTAATCACTATGTAATATCATGTATTAATTAACACTACAATGCAAAAATACTTGAAAATCAACCTACAAGCCCTACAAGGCATTCAAGGACTAATGCAAATTTGTGGTAGATCAAGCTTTGCATACCTCCTGAGGCAGCAACGGCAACTTAGTAATGTGAAAATCATCATATAGCACGTAAAACTGGTCCAGGTACTTTTGTTGCATTTGCATTCTAGCTTTGAGTAACTTTGACGCAACAACTGAAAACAAACAAATAAATGAATAACCTTCTTCATCAAACCAAACCACAGATAGAGAGAGAAAGAGAAGAACAGGAAAAAGAATTACCTTCTTCATCAAAAATCACTTGGTTAATTATGATATTATGGGTATCAATCTCAAATCTACTGAGCTCCTGAACCAGTCGTTCAGTTTCATACAAAGACAGGAACTCGGGAATGCAAACACAGATGAAAGTCGTCAAATCCTGCCAGGAAAGGTCAGAAAAAGTGTCAATAGATTTTCCACACAGAGAGAGTGAATTTTATATAAGTTTAAGAGATGATATAGAAAGAGACGATTGCCTTTCAAAATTTACAGACAAAAATGAAGAAAAAATAATAATGAGTTTCTCCTAACAAATTGCACTTATCGAGTGATGCTGAGAGAAACTTGTACAAGTTGTAACAAATGCAGATTCAAAGTGCCAAAGCTCCAGGTATATAAAAGCAAAGAATCACAACATTACCATGATAGTGAAAACTGAATTCACAATTTCAAGTTTGAACCTTCTTCCAATATTTAAACAACACACATTCTCAGAAAAAATTATGGGATAATTACATAAACTATTCCCAACTTTAGCTTAATTANAAGGCGGCTAAGAACACACTGTTCAGCATCAAAACAATAATATCTTTTATGGTATTACAAAAACCACCTCTTGAGGTTTTTACTTAATGCTGTCACAGTATTCGGAATGCAATTTGGTAAACAGAAACAAACATCAACTGGTGTTACAGTAAGGTTGAAAAATAGCTGGAAATATATTTGTGACAAGACAGAACCCTAATGGCAAATTTACAATTAGCCCAAATATTAATGAACAAGAAATGTGTCTTCTACAAGAAAAATCAATAAGGTCTTACAGGATCCTTAAACTGATTGTTCACTTGTTCAATCACATCCTTCATGCCTTCAAGCTTTCCCAATATATCATCTTCACCAAAATCATCACCAACACCAAAGAGGCGAGTCAACTGACATGAAAGTCTCGAGATTTCATATCAAACTTGCAGTTAAAAATAAAAAATAAAAAGAAAGTTAATATTAATAACGAGTCAGAATGTTTAGCACTACCTGGCTAAACAATCCACCGAACTTGTTCTTCAAGCTCATCATCTTTGAAATTCCTTTTTCTAATGTCGAAGGAAACTGTAACAGGCGAAGTGTATGACCAGTTGGAGCTGTGTCAAACACTATAACGGAATAGTCCATAGTTTGCACTAGCCTGTAAAACACATTCAAAGCCACTGAAATTTAGAACCTATGACCTAACTGCGGCTATTAACAACGCACTTTCTAGATTTAATTTATATATATACATATATGCACTAAAACACATTTCGCTTTTGAGTTTACAAATTCACATCCTCAAACTGGGGATATTTCTTAAGAAAATGCAAATTTCAAGTAGCACGGGTGATGCCTTAAGAAGGTCCACATAAGACTGAAACATAATTGGGTTTTTTATTTTAATTATTGTGTCAGACCTCAAGGTTAGTTTTTGATATAACTAGAAGAATGGGATATGGTAGTCATCAAAACGCAACCTCAATCTGGGGAGAATATTTGTTAAGAAAATGCAAATATCAAGTACGGGTGATGCCTTAAGAAGGTCCACGTAAAACTAAAACATAATTGTGCTTTTTGTCTTCATCACTGTGTCAGACCTCAAGGCTAGCTTTTTATGTAATTATAAGAATGGGATATGGTAGTCATCAGGTATTCAGATCCACAATTAGCTAAAAAAATTTATCAGGTCAGAAAAGTGTAGCACTCAAAGGTACTAAATGAAAATCTTCCCTACTTCTACACAAACTTTCTTTCCTGGTGAATATATTTCAGCATAAAGCCAGACAGCCAATGCAAGTGTATGAATGTAAAGCGCACAACTTAGTTATGCCAAACACTGCCTCAAAAACAATACCCATAGTAAAACTTAGATCTGACTCAAAATCAAGTTTGAAGGATATTCATACTGGATATAAAAGATAGATAAATATTTTAAGGCACTGGAGAGACATGAAACTTACTTGAGCATTTCTGCAAAACTCATAGCCTCGTCAATGCCTGGGATAGAATTTGTTAAATCTGACATAAATCCATCAGTATCTGAACCACCACTCTCATCATTTTCCACGTTGGGATCAACTTCCTACATAATGCAGTTTTTCATCAATCACACGTTTAAGACAACAATTTCATATATACTGGGCTATCTCAGTACACACGTCACCAACACAAGAAAATTTCAATTTTCTCAAACTAATAAGAGCAGTGTCCCCTCTGTAATGTTTAACTTTCTAGCACCAATTCAACCACTAGCATGAACAAAAACCACAAACAAAAAGCAAAGCAGGGCAATATAATTTCTATTTAACTTTTTTATTTTAATCAATCAACACCGATCCTTTCAAAAGCTAAAAGGTGACACTCAGCTGACAGTAAGAAAGTTAACAACACCAGTGGAGACATCGAATGGAACTCAACATTACATAATAGATAGTGAACCACAATACAAACAAACAAACAAAAAAAAAAATGGTCTTTATTGATGGCTTCAGGGTGGAAAAATTAAGCTTAAAATCCCATCTTATACCAAAAATATATATACATCATTTAACACTCGTAAAAGGCGCCTCAAATTCAGATTATGGCCACAAAGTACACAGCCCTTCAGATTAAAAATACTAAAATACCAGAACTTGATTATTCCTACATTATCAAGCAAACCAAACAATCAAAATCCAACAGTAACACGAGAGACGATGAATAAACAAACTAATAACTTCGATTTCCTCACCATAGCGTACAAATTTGAAAATCCGGTGACAAGGGTGGGGCTTTTCGTGAACCTCTGCTGGAATGCGTCGCTAAGGTTATGGGCGGGGTCGGTGGAGATTATGAGCACGGAGGATCTCACCCTCGCGAGCAAGATGGCCAGAATCGAGCTGCACGTCGTCTTTCCAACGCCGCCTTTGCCGCCGACGAACACCCACTTGAGCGTCTCCTGCTCCATAATGTTCTGCACCGTCCCCTCGGGCGGTTCTTCGACGGGATCCATCGATCCCAAATGCCGTCAACCAGAGGCGGATTGTGTGATTACCGCCGGTACTTCGCAAAAGAAGAAATTGTATGTTGAATGCGCGGATTATCTTATGATTTTTTTCCCGGTTGGAATTTTGACGAGTGGGCTTTTGCTGTCGTTGTCCTTGTTTGTGTCGCAAATTGTTTTTTCCAAAATTATTATTATTATTCATTAAATTGTTTTTTCCAAAATTATTATTATTATTATTATTATTTTCAAATTTGTACATATCTACGTGTCTTCGAAATAAATAATAGTTTTATATTATTTAATATTAATTTGTTTACTAGTACGACACCCGTGTACTACACGGGTTGTTGTTTTAAAAAAAAAATATGAAACATAAAATAATAAAGAAAACACGTGTTATTGTACAAAAGTGCAAAAATAGAGAATAGAAAATACCAAAATCGTTAAATTTTGAAAAATTTATTTGTACACAACATTCTTCCTCAGTAAGTGCAGCAAAACCATTTCTAGCCTTTTGCTCAGTGCATGCAACAAAATCAAACGAAGCACATTAAACTATTATAACAACATGTAATTTGCGATAATTAAAGAGGGGATTTATGTATCAATCAATAATAGAGATTTATCTCTTTGAATATTCTATCAACTATCCAAGATATTAAATTTATTATTTAATAATTTAATTTACATCAGTTTTTTTTATTTATATTAGTTTGAGACTAGAAGATTGATCAATTACTAATTTGGGGCTTTGAATGATAAAATTTGTCAATTTAAGATGGTCAATAAATCAATTCGGGGATTTGAATGATAAAATTTATAAATTCAGAACCCGAATCCGAATGATTTAAAATTATCATTACAATCTCTAAAAAAGGTATATTTGAACTGAAATATTTTTGTTTATAAGTTTTATACTTTTTTATAACTGGTAGGACATACAAAAAGTTGCTCATATTTTTAATATTGTTTTAAATATTTATTTATGGTTTCAATTGTTATTTGTATTTTTTATTATCATATTCAAAATCTAAATATCCCCTATATATAACTCTCGAATGTGTTGAGTCTAAGTGGCAGGCTCGCATGCTTCGGTATCCTATGTGGCAAACTTTCTTTCTTTATCATTTGGCTTGGATGATTTTTAATTTACTCTCAATTAAAAAATAATTAGGTCTAGAATATCCACAACATACTAGATATTTATGATTTTTTTTTAAATCATTAATTACGTTACATTTTATACTCTAGGCGTGGTTTACATGGCATACTTTTTTCCCCAATTTAATTTTATACTCTAGACGTGGTTTACATTGCATACTTTTTTCCCCAATTTAATTTTTTCTTCATCTTTCATTTAAAATTATAAAAAAGATACTAACTAAAATTATAAGTAGATTAAAAGTTAATACATTTTTTATTTATTAACAATTGTTTAATATAATGTATAAAATTAATCGTGTCTCGATGAGCTTCGATTTGACACATGTATTATACATACAAAATAAATAAATAATTATATTTATCTTTATAATAAAAATTAAATTACCTATTAATATTAGTTAAAAAAATAAAAGTATTTAAATTAGTTTAACTTCAAAGTTGGTAGATGTTGTACCCAAAAATACTTGATCACGAGAAAAGGCAGACCTGCGTACAAATCTCAGACCAAAAGGACGGACAAGGCCCAAAACATTGTTGAGCATATTTTACCAAATACGATTGTAAAACCTACCTAGGGTAGTCTCTCGAAGCAAACTATTCAGAGCGTTGTTTGCCACTAGTCGTCAAAAGCACAAAACTCGAAAACAAAGTCCTAGGCAGTCTAACAAGATGGATTGGTTGATTTTTAACTAAAATTACCTAAAGAATTCAGAGCAGTTAACTAAATGTACAAGCCTTTAAAATATCTAAACTTTACTTTAATCGGAATGTTCAAAACCCACAAAAGACACAAACAAAAAGAAAAAGCTAAGTCTAACGCAACTAGAAGCTAAAGTTGAACGATTAATTGAGAAACAATCGACCTTTTACCAAAGTCTCGACTTTTATTTTGAAAGATTCAAGAACAAACTAATTACCCTAGACAAGCAATATAAGACAAAAGATGGAATTTTTAACTAAAAAGGAGCCTAAAACATAAATTCCGGCTAAGAAACTATTTTCACCTCTAACACGAAGTAAGCAAAAATAGAGCAAAATCGAGATAATAATCCTAAACTAGGTACTTACTTCCCTAATGCATTTTTAAGCGAAATAAAAGCGAAAGATCGAAACTTTACTGATAAACAACATCGTCGGAAAATCAACAAAAGTACGAGTTTGAACCTCCACAAGCTTAAGTTCAGAGAGAAAATAAGAAAAAGAACAATTTTGAAAGTAGAAACAAAGAAAATGAAATCTAGATGGTTAAAATGCAAAGGGACTAAAAGCATTTATACTCAAACCTCCAACATACACACTAGAAAAATGCACATTAAAAATTAGCACTCATTTGGTAGTGAACAGATTCGCTAGGCGAATGCTGGCTTGCTCGGATTGGAGCTCGAACTCGCCGGCTGACGAAACCAATGGTTAGACGAACTGGTCTTCGACACTCGCTGGGTCGCGGGTATACTTGCTAGGCAGACAGGGCAATGACACTCGCTGGGCTGCAGGGTCACTTGCTTGGTGGATAGGCTAACGACACTTGCTGGCACGCGAACATGGTCGTTGGGCAGACGAGTTGACGGGCACTCGTTGGCGTACGAAGTTGCTCGTTGGGCAGATGGTCACCCGCGCGGTCTCGCGTACGATGCCTAGGCACGTAGACGGGTCTCGCTCGGTCTCGCGCACAATGGCTGGGCGCGCTGTGGGTCTTGCGCGGTCTCGGCAACAGCATGCATTTGTCTCGTGCACGTTGCGGGTTTGTTGTGGAGACCTCGGCAACAGCTTGGCAGCGGCTCATGATGGCTCAGATTCTGACTATCGTGACACTTGCTCATTTTTTGCTCATGTTCCCAGGACTCGAGTCGATTATTTTCATTCAACTTCCGAAATGGACATGAAATTGCTGTTGGGTTCGATAGTACCGTACGGGCTTTAAACAGCGGAATTTAAAATTTTTTAAAGTAAGTATTTATCAAATAAATACAACACCCGTACATACTAATTGCGAATTAACTGATCGTCATCTTTAAAACATGCATCACATACAAATTTTGATTTGTTATAATAAAGTAAATACTAATACGAAATATTTACCGAGTGTCTTGAACTCCTTCAACAAAGATGTGGATTGTGGGAATCGGTTCCCGGTTGTAACTTCAACGGCTTGAGGTTACTCGCTTTAGGAATCCAAGTGTCTTCCCTCTAATCGTATCCACCCTATGAAGCCCGGTTCCGACGACCTTTCTTCGCTAGTAGAAATGTCTCGGTTTTCTTGTATAGGAATATATATATAGATATAATTTGGGAATTATCAAGAACACTTTCTTGAAATATATGAAGAACACTTTCTTCTCTCTTTGATTTTCTCACAAAATCACTTCACATCTTTGCAAACATTTTGCATCTATTTATACTAAACATTTTAACATAAAATAATCAATATTTAGTAATATTTAAATAAAATCAAATTTTATTTAAATAGTATTTACTAACCATTGACTTTGAAAATAATAAGATATGTTAAGTAGTTCAAACAACCATTAACAACCATTTTATTATAATCATATTTCTTATTTTAATCCTTAAATCATATTTAAAGATATAAATAATAATTGGATAATAAATCTTGAGAATCTTTCTCAAGACTTTATTATTATATCATTTTCCCAATCTTATAATAATCATATTATTATTATTTTGGATTTGAAATTTAAAATCCTATTTTAAAATTCAACTTTATTAATTTAGTAATTACTTTAATTACTAAAGTAATATCCAAAATGTAATTAATCAATCTTATTGATTAATATATTCCTTTAATTGACATCTAATCAAATTAGATATTTATCAATTAATTCTAACCATTAGAAATACAATCTTTACCTTTGTTCATAATTAGTGTGACCTTTTAGGTTCACTATTAATACTAGTAGTGGGTTTACAACACTTTGTAATTTGAGTTAAATCTTATTAACTCTTATTCAAGAATTAACCCCTTAATTCATGAACCCACATATCATGGTAACACCTAGCAAGTATCATGAATCTAGTATTAAGTGAATAGCGAGTAAACCTATTCCGATTACAACTCCATACATGTAAAATCCTTTCGACATCTAATTTCCCGATTAAGTCTTGGGTATGATTTTGTCGAAACCCAAATTGACTTAATAACTATGATTCTATTTCATGTTTATTAACCCGGTTATGAATCACTATTCATCTCTGCCTTGGCCAAGGACTTTGGATTAATAACTATGAAACACATAGGAAATTCACTTATCTTCATAAGTGTCGAATCCTTTATTGGCCACTAACAAACTTCCATACATATTAACATAATACCCAACTTATCCCTTTAAACGATAGTGCTAGCTACCAAAAGGATAAATCAAAGTAGAATGTAATATGCACAAAGTTACCATTGTGCCTCAAGTCTTAGGATTAGTCATGTACTATTGTAACATGAAAATTCTTATTCGACTGAATAAATTCTTCATTAAGAATTTTCATACGGTCATGTTCAGTGAACTTGTTCTCTAACAAGCACCCACATAAATGTACTTACGTCTTACGCTAATGTTGATGGAATGCAACATTCTTGTCCAACAAGCATACAAACTATGTGCAAGTCTTTTATGGATTATTCGATATCCCATCTCGAAACATCCATCGACTTGGAACTGTATTTAAGATCACGGCTTTCAAGGTATGTTCCATGATCACCATCTCTATGCGCAACCATACCTTATAACCATAAGTGATCTAGGGATTTTATCTTAAGTGCAATTATAAGATAAATGCTTTCTCTTAAGATAAAGAAATGCCTTATTCATAATATAATTCCAATAGACTGTATTTACAAGTAGAATACGTCCAATTAGATTGGAACGCCGGGTACCCTACTCTAACAATTGCACCAAAAGACACGAAAAAATATGCTAAAACACAAAACCAAAATGAAAGTGAAAAATACACGAAAAAACCTAGAATGGATTGGTTAAGAGAGAAAATGAACCTAGAAACGAGCCAACTAAGCACAAAAATCACATAAAAGATAACCACAAAAACATATAAAACAAACACCCTGAACATAGAAATCATCCCACGAGCGGCCCAAGCGATCATCAATAGGCTTGTCGATCGCCCAAGGAAGCTTCTCGGGAAAGACTTGCGATCACTTCCATCGTCTGAACACGACTTGATAAAGTTGTTGGCACTGCCCGAAAAGTCCTAATAACTTTTATATGGAAACACATGACACCAGCCTACGCCCATAGCTGGCACTCTTCATTTAATGCACTGACACTTTTTTTCATGTATAAATACCGACCCTCAATCTCGAAAGAAATTGCAAGCAAAAACTTGAGAAAATATAAGCAAATTTCAAGCCAGCCTAAACACTCATAAGACAAGCCAGACAACTCCCCCAAATATCACCACAATCGCTATTACTCCTCTTTACATTATTACTTAAATGATCCCCCGAGGATCACACAAAAAATATTCGGCTGTATCAATCATACACAATCAATAACAAATTTCAGAAGAATCATCTCCTTGCCGATCGCCACAGCTGATTGGCAAAATCGGAGTTTTACTTTATTTTTACGCACAATTATACTTGCGATCTCTCATCCACAGCCGATCCCGTAGTTTGACCAGGCCAGTTCCGGGCCTCCTGTATAAATTTTTGACCCGGCACGCCGGGCCGTAACGGTCCATGAGATAGGCTAGGCGTTCAATTTTTTTTTCTTTTCCTGTGAACCGAGCCGGTCCCGAACTGTCGGATCAGTGAACCGCTCGAAACCGCCAGGCAGATGAACCGACCCGTACCTACATTCGGCCCATTTTCGGGTATGTGTTTTCAGTCGCCGAGCTGGGCTGTGCCCAGATTCGGGCCGTTAAATGACCACGTCTACATTCAGGTCGTTCTAATATAGTCAAAAAAACATGTCTCGGTTAAATATGTTAAGGGTCAATCTAGCTGGACCAACTCAATTATTAAAACTAATATGAATTTTAATAGTACAAGTACTTTATTACAATAAATATAAGGAAATCCAAATAACTAAAATAATTTTATGAAAATATGTTCAATAATATATGAATTTATATATATCATTTTACTAATATTTATGTGAACAAAACATTAGTGTGTTATAACATTTAATAATATATGGTAAATTATGATTTATGTTACTTGTATATTTAATTTATATTACAATCGTAGTATTATTTTGGTTTCGAAAGCAATGGGTAATCATGATTTATNCTAGGACCCCCAGGTAGTTATGTTCCGCGAGTAAGCGACGATAATGAGGTCATGCTGTATCTACAGTTTAACTACCGATGATGGGTCTAAGAAATGCTGGCAACCACTAGGACATTGATGTGCTAGAGTCGCCAAACAATCAGTTGCGAAGTTAGCTTCTCTATAACAATGGGTCACTCTAGCCGCCCAATCCCAGTTAAGCAACTCCCGAAGGCCCGAACCATGCTATTATGCACACCAAGATTCTCCGTGGAACCCCCATTCGCCATTGAGACCACCGCTCTTATTGTCTACTTCGATAAGAATCTTTCTATAAATAGCTCCCAAGCAAGTAATAGGCCTTGGAAGAGGCCCCACAACTCGGCTCCTGTTCTATAACAGAAACCGATATTCATCACAATCCCCCCAAGCCATCTCCCGTCGGTATCTCGAATCAAACCCCCAAGCCATCTTTTTTTGTGCATCACACGGATCACCATGACATTTTAGACCCATGACATTTTACAATTTAAGTATAATTGAAAATATATTTGCTTAAAGGTTAAACCTACCTAATAACAGTCAGCATTATTATATTTATGTAAAGGGGTTTCCATGACATCTTTTCCCAATAAATGAGGAGAATATAATCAGACAATCAAACTTGTCTCCCTTAAATCTAAAAAATGCCATACATATATAGATAGGTAAATATCTACCCAAACCTCAAGATAGATTATGTATTATCCAAAAACACAAAGGATCAAATTTTCACTCCCATCATGACATCAAAATTGCATCTCTTGAAACAACCGGGTCCAAATCAACAGAAATCGAGTCAGAAGGTGTCTGCCTAGAATGCTCGAATGAGGCCTCAGGACTATCTAAAGATTGTGCAGCCGTCTGCACGTTTTTCCTCTCGTCTGAGTCCTGAAGTGATAGACGGCAAACAGGGCATGTGGCGTGTTTTCTGAGCCACACGTCAATGCATGATATATGAAAGCTGTGGCCACATTTGGGCATGATTCGCAATACTTCTTTGTCTTGGTACTCTGACAAACATATTGTACACCTGCATTCCGAAATAGCGATTTGAACTAAAAGTCTTTGTTGGTCGATTAATGGAATATTAGCGAAATCACCCATGAGCTTCAGTCTAATTACAATAATCGCCAATTACGTTTTAGAATTATAAACACATCCTTGAGGATTTTGTTGAACTGGGTTTTTAGAGGACATGTTCAAGTAGTTTTGTAATTAACTGTAAGGAAACAATGATCGAAACTTTTGTTTAGTGTAAGATGACATAATTACGACAAACTTACTCCTGAGGATTAGTTTTAATATTAGTGACATCCCTTTCGAGGTTTATAATTACCTACAAATGCCTCCTTCTATGGGCACATTGCATGCACTTCAAAGACAAGCAAATGTCATAAGGAATATTTGGAATTTCAAAAGATAACTTCTTTGTTTCTTTTGTGATTAGGCTAAAGCTCATGGTAGTTCTTGTAATTATCTTTAAGGTGGCTAGACTCACTGTGGATCTTCAAATGAACTAAATGCTTCACGATTGAATTTGAGCGTGGGGATCGCATTAACTGCTACTGGTTCAAGACCAGTAATCCTGTGCTCTGGCTGCAAATAAAAGGAATTAAAAAAAAAAAAAAAAAAAACTTTAAGTTAAACACAACTAGGATCAACATGTACAGGAGAAGTCACCAAGACAAGAACTTCTGGCAAAACTTTTCAACATCAAACCATAAAGTTTAGAGTTCGGAGCACGTAAATATTTACGAGTTAGAGATCATTAATGTGCTCGAGCTCTTGCCGACTTTAACTGACACCACTAGAAATTACAAGCACACCAAGTTGGTACAGTGAAAGGTTTATGCTGCACTTGAAGCTAAATGAATTACCGAAATTTGTACACACTAGTCAAGAATGCAAGTAATTGCAGTATGGTGATCAGATAATTAGGAATCACCCGAGGTTAAAACTAATTGGCAATTCCATATCTTCTAACATTACAAATCACCCCTGATGTTTAGCCCTGCATCTTGAGACACAAAATATATAGAAGAAACTGGGCCATTGATAATTTACAAAGAATAATAAGAGAATTAAACATTAGATAAAGTAGTTTTAATCGAGTCTTACAATGATCCGAGGTAATTAACGTTACACTAAAGCAAAGCTCCATGAACGATTAAAGTATATATTTTCATCTAGAAATTCAACCGTGACATTAGGACATACCAGCTCAAGATTAATCCCCAAGTCATTAGGTGAAGTAGTTTTAATCGAGTCTTATAATAATCCAAGGCAATTAACCTTACACTAAAGCAAAACACCATGAACGATAAAAGTATATATTTTCATCTAGAAATTCAACCGTGACATTAGGACATACCAGCTCAAGATCAATCCTCAAGTCATTCTCTATCATCAGTTGAGTCTCCATCCTCCGAAGCCTCCCGTAAATGAGCCGAGTGCATACGAAAACAATGAATGTTGCACTCATTCCAAACCCAATAATTGTTGTGATCAGATTCATACCAGAGCCCAACATATCAAACTTTCCTGCTTTCTCAATTGCCCAACTCACAGTATAATGAATTTTAAGGCAAAAGTTGAAACTGACAAAGGCAAAGGTATTTAAAGGAAAGATGGCCTGGATCAAGCACAATAGTCCAATTTCTCAAGCCATTATTATTCTGAAATTCAACTGCCAGGTGATTAGATCAGTATAAGGAACTAAACACTGAATCCTAAAAATTCACCCAAAAAAGGAAAAAGAAAACACAACAAAACAAAACAAAATCCAACACTGTAATAGATTAACTAAAGAACACATCAAGAATCTCCAAGAGCTTTTGAGAAAAGAGTGTTGTTGGAACCAATGATGAGGTTATAACTACACATCACCGCAAACAACAAATGAGCCCAAATAAGTGACAAACAAACAACCCCTTAAAATACACAACTGCTTTTATAAGACAAACCAGAAGAAGAAGAAATAGGGAACATCCTTCGATACTATGTAGACGCACACACATCAGAGAAAATACAGATTCGAAATTTTAGAAACCAAAAACAAAAAAGGCAAAACAGAAAAAGAAACAATTTTGCCCTAAAAATGGAATCTTTAATCCCTTTGGGTGGACTCAAAGGGTGGCCCTGTGAATGGATGAGAATCAACTAGTAAATATAAATACGAACTCTTCCAATTTTGCATTTTTCTTGAGGGCCCACTTTGTTACTATTTACATGAGAATGCTGAAGTTGGGATCTTTGGAAATGGCGGCTAATGGGTAAAAACGAAAAATAAATACATCGCAATAGACTGCATATAAACCGGTTCAAGATTCCGTGGGATTCATCATCAAGTCATCGAGTGGAAGTGACGACAGAGATTTTTGTTGAGTTTCTCGCAGTGGTCTTTCCTAGTTTTGCGATAGGTGACCTGTAAAGATCGTGTCCGGTCATTCTGGATTTTTGTTTAACAAAAGAGAGATATTTGAACACTTTACTGTATGCCAACAACACTCTTTTTGCTACTCTCGGCCTTACATTCATGACCTGTGCATTTACAGTAAATAGAATATTATAAATTATATTTATATATATAGTATTAAAATTATAAATTATACAATGATATTATATTTTAAACATAGAGTATTATAAGTTATATTTATGCATATATTAATAAAAATATAAATTAAATAATGATATTATGTTTTAAAATTTGATCATTGGTTAAAATAAATAGTACATAACTATTTGATTGCATATGAACCACTATATTAAGTACATAAAATATAATAAATAATGTAATTTTGAGAGATCGTCAATTTATTAGCTTAAAAATATTAGATTTATTATAACATTTGATTATGCGATTTTAAGGAATTTGACTATAACATTAAAATAAATTAACTTATTTAAAATACAATCGATAAATAAGATAAAAAAATAATATTAATTTTAGAATAAATAACTTTAGCAAAAAGTTTACAATAATTGTTTATGTTTATGTAACTTTCATATATCATTTGGTGTAAACTATAATTATTAGTTTTAATAAGAACTATTATATGATATAATAAAATAGTATAATTATTACTCCGTTAATATAAAATGTATCGGTTTTTGTCTTCATTAATCCTAAAAAAAGTGCAATGAGATATTTTAGCATTAATTAGATATGGTGGATTAATAATAATAATAATAATAATAATAATTATAGATTGTAACATAAAAAGATGGTAAACAATAATTAATATTATTAAATTTATTGTTAGTAATTAAATATATATATAGAGAGAGAGATATATATAAATGATAAATTTTATAACGGTTTTTGAAGGGAAATCGAAATGAGGTTTTATTAAATGTTATTAGCCAGCAATTATATATATATATAGATATAGATTTAGCGTTCGGTCACTCTAGTGCCGACCATATAGACATTCGCCTTACACACGCTACAAACACTTTACTGTATGCCAATTGCCAACACACACCTCACTACTAGAATACAAGTACTAGGACTTTGCTCGCTTAGTCTTTTATGGCATGATTGGTAGGAAGGAATGACATGAGAATAGAATGATCATTCCCTTACTCATTACTTATCCAATGATTGGTATATTTTTTGGGAAGGAATGACCATTCCAATGGAAATGGCTAAACCCATTTTCATGGGATTAGCCATTCCATAGTAAATGAAAGATTTTCTCATTCTCATGTGTGTAGGAATCAATTTTTTAAAAAATAAAATTAACAAATAATAATAAAAAAATAAATATATAATATATATATTATAAATCATGATTAAAATATATTAAATAAAATTATTCTTAAAAAGAAATTCAAATAAAAAAATTAAAACTTATTTTTATTTATTTTTAATTAGATATATTAAATACTTATATAAAAATAAAACTAAAAAAAGTATTTATATATAATTTAAAAATATATTATTTCATTTTTATATATTATTAAAATATATTATTTTTTACATATTAAAAATATATTACTTTTAAAAATATATTATTGAAAAATATTAAAAATATATATTATTTAAATATATTAATTTATTTTTAAATATTATTAAAAATATATTATTTTAAAAAATAAAATTCAAATAAAAAAATTAAAAACATACTTTTTGTAACGCCCCACTTTTATTTGCCGAAATTTAGAATAAATATTTCAAAATTTATTTCAAACCACTTGAGGCGCTACTCGATTTCCAAAAACAATTCCAACAATGTCACATATGCAATTCCCAACGAGTTCAATATTCATAAATAATCAACACCCAAACAGGGTTCAATAACCATAAATAGTCAATACCCAAACCGGGTTCATAAATGACATCAACTCCCAAAACTGGGTTCATCAAATCCATAATACTAGGGAGTACACTCCCTATCGATAATCCAGTACTCGACATAAGTCAGGAATGCATAAATCATATTAAACAATTTAAGCAGCGGAAATAATCAATAACATGACCACCACTCGCCTCCCTCTGTCGTGCCCGCAATACTAACCTGCATCCATGAAGAGCAGGTGGGGATGAGCACAATAGGAAATCGANAGATTCAGGGCATGAGTGTATAAATATATCAAACTCAAATTCAATCTCAACTCAAAATTTAACTCACATCACTTCACTCAATATTATAATATAATTAAATAATACAAATAAATCATTCTTACTCATCACATCAGTTTTATTTCATTCACTAATATAATTTTAACCATTGTTCTGAAAACCGGACCGGTCATCGAACCGGTGAAGCTACTGGTTCAATGGTTCAGTGGTCGAACCAGTGGTCGAACCGGTCGAACCGGTTTAATTAATATATAATTTTTATTTATTTTATATGTATAATATATAATTATATATATATTTTGTATTGTTAATTCTATTAATTTTATAGTGTATGACATTTCTCTAAATAATAACTCAATATTAGATACAATCGACAATGATTATTAATGTTTACATTTTTTATTTTATTTTATTTTTTATGTTTAAAATTTTAATCTATATTTAAGTTACAAAATAGAAAGAATAGAAACAATCCTATTTTCATTTTAAATCACATTTCAATTTTTTTATTATTGCTTAAAAAAAATAATGTACATAACAAACAACAATAATTTGTTTATTTATTTTTTTATAATTTGGGAATAGATATAGCCCAATTGATAGTTCAATTTAAAAAATAGTTCTTTTTTTTTAACGAGTACAATATTGTTTGTAAGGTCCAATATTGGCCCAATAATTTTATCAAAGGAACATATCCCACATTGGAAACACAAGTAAAAAAGATGTGCTATTTAAATCACTTCACAATCAACCAATTCAAAATTCAAAATCTTGAACCGTTGAACCATTCGAACCGGTCCCGGTTCACCGGTTCAACCGGTTTTGGACCGGTTCGAACGGTTTTTGACCGGTTCGAACGCTGGGCGGCTTGATGGTCCAAACCGGACCGGAATGAAGGCCGGTTCCCGGTCCAACCGGTTGAACCGGCCGGTCCGGTCCGGTTTTCAGAACAATGATTTTAACTACATATCAATTTCAAGTTCCAATCATTTTTCTTCTACTTTTACATCATATCAACTTTAATCATTTTATTTTAATATAAACATAAAATCCAACAAAAAAACTAATCAAACAAAACTTTTTTAAAATTAACATCTATTAATATATAAAGAGACAATGATATTTACTTCAAATAGTAACTAAAAATCAGTAAATAAACATTTGGTTTCCTACCTAAAATTTCAAATTTGTTAAATTGGGTTATTTTGTTTTCCAAAATTTGTAGAAGCCCGCCTAAATTAATGTAATTAATGTACATACTAATTTTGGTCAAATATTACGGCTATTACTTTATTAGTTGCATGATTTAAATTTGGTATATAATATATTGACAAAACTTGCGGCTATTACCTTTATTAGTTGCATGGTTTAAAATTTGGTATATAATATACTGAAAAAAAAATAAAAAAAAATTATTTAAAATTTAAAATCTAGAAAATAATTATTCATAACTTACGGGTCAATATTAACTTGGACGTAAATGAAATAGTAAATTATTTATTGTTTAATAAATTATTCAATAACTTACGGGTCAATATTAATTTGGATGTAAACGAAATAGTCGATTATTGTAGTTTAATAAATTACTCGGCTACTTATTTTTTTTATGTGAATAGTTTATACAAAAATAAATTTATTTTAATTAGTGAACTATTTATTCATATAGGTTGTTAAATATATGATAAAATTTTACCAAAGTAACTATTTTATGAAATCACATTATAGTCAAATCGAATTTTTGAATAAATATTTTGAAATGACACTTATTTTGAAATGAATATAATGTAATTTATTATTAGTTATGTGCACCGCACGGGTTGTGTACTAATTTTAAACAGACATTTTTGTATAATTTTGCACAATTTAAACTTTATATAACATTTTCAATAAATTAATATAGATAAATTGTATTACATATTAATTCCATATTTTCGATCTCTAAATATTATTTAAAAAAAAATTTTAATTTATAAATATTAATGAACATCTCTTATCCGTGCACTACACAGGATTCATACTAGTGTTAGAAAAAACACCCACCAAAATAATATATCCATATTTACTCACGCCCTTGGTTAGGTATACCGTGCACACACATGGGCAGTAACATGATACCGCCTTGCAAGCACGTGCCAATGCAAAATGTTCGTGTGGTGAACCTTTGTGGCTCGAGTGGTCCCACCACCTGAAAAGAAAAATGCCCACCACGTCATCGTCAGTATTTTCAAAAAGCAAGTTTCAAATTTTCAACGGTCGCATCCACTGTTCCACCCCATTTTGATCTCGGCCGTCACCACTTCCCCATTTTTCAACTGGGAGACCGACAGAGAGAGATAGAGAGAGATAGAGAGAGAGAGAGGGAGGGGAGAGAGGGATGTTGAATTGGGAGCTTTTGGGATTTTTGAGATGATTGTTCTGTTTTCTGGGCTTCCTTTCTCGTATGGAGTTGTGGTTTGCTGAATTGTGCAGATTTTTCTTTCACAATGGTAGGCTTTTTTGAAATGGATGCATAAGAAATATCAGTTTCTTTTAAGTTCTGTTTTTGACTTGTATTAATCTGTTCCAATATTTGTCACATTTTCTACTCTGGTTGATGCGCAAAGGTTGGCCCTTTTTAGATTCGCATTTAAGTCATTTGTGTGTGAGATTTATCTTTT